TTCTGCTCAAGTGGCATCTGGTCAGAGAAGCCACCCACCTCTCGACTTCCTTCATCCTGCCTTGTTTGTCTCTGTACCATGGCTTTGAAGGCAATTTCAGATTCTCTTTTTCATTTATTTACTGTCTTTTTCCCACCTCTACAATGTGGGCCCCAAGGAGGACAGAAATGTTTTGTTTACTGTCTTACCCATTAGCCACTGTTCTTTGACATCTATCACTATCCTCAGCTTACAAATAAGGACACTGAAGCCCAGAGAGGTCCGAGTAACTTGTTTAAAGCACAAAACTAGTGAGCGAAAGGGGCAAACCCAGAAAGCACGAAGGCGGGTGATATCACAGGGTGAGGTGAAAACGGTAACAAAGGAGGAGTAAAAGGGCAAATAACTGTTTCAACGTCTGTATTTAAACTGAGCAGAAGATAATTTTGTGTAAAATTATCTGCAGTTAAACAACATAATCTCTTATTTTTAAAAACAAGAAAGAAGAGAAATTCAGAGAAAGAAAAATAGCAGCTGTCTTGGGGTAATGAGGTTGTGGGTTTTTGTTTTCTATTATTTATATCCTAAAGGGCAACAGCTTGCAAACTTTTTCTGTCAAGGCCAGAAAGTAAATATTTTCAGCCCTGCCAGCTGTACGGTGTATTGTTGCTACTCAACTCTGCTGTTGTAGTGCAAAGTAATCACAGACAATACATAAACAAACAGCTCTGGTTGTGTTCCAATAAAACTTTATTTATATTAAAAAGAAAGTAGATAGGCTGGATTTGGCCCTTGCTGGGTTTGCCAATCCCTGCTACGGAGAATTTTAGGTAGTATCAAAGATACATAAACTATATATCTATTTCTGAGAGGACGTTAGCTTTATTATTACTAGAAAATAAAGAAATATAAAACTTCGTAAACCTTTGGACATACAACCCTTAAGTAGGAATTTTAAAGCAAAGAGATGCCTAGACATAGGTTGTGTATAACTCCAAGGTAAAATATTTTATTAGAATGATGTGGGGTCAGAAAGTATGATCTCATCCTCAGAATGTTTCTTGCAAAAGTATCAAGCAATGAGCTGTGAACCTACTTTAAACTTGATGGCTGTAATTAAGATATAAGAATTAAACTAAAATGGCTTTAAATTCACCAGATAACTTTTTAACTTAAGACCTCTGACTATTGAGATGTATTGAGCTTAAGTTCCATGGTGTCAAAGAAAACAAAAGTTTTAGATTTAAAAAAAGCCTACATAATACTTAACATTTGAGAAAAAATTCACATTTGTAACATAAAAATTTTTAGATGAAAGATTAATTTTTAGACACAGGAAGAAGCTAGATGCTCATCTGTGAGAGTTGAAGAGTAGGGCTTCCTTCATTGGGTGGAGGGCTGAATAATTAATAAGCCCCTAGGAATCTGGGAGATTCCGTGTCTAACTCTGGAATAAGAGATGCTTTTCTGCCTTTAAAATGATGGCTATAGCCATTTGGCTGTGCCTTACTGAAGAGCGCTAACACTGAAAGAATGTAAGAGACGTAAATATAGTGGATAAACTGTAATGTTTTTGACACTTGTATTGTTCTGAGCTTGTTAATTCCTACACACACACACACACACACACCCTGGTCTAGTTCATGTATTATTATGCACATTTGTATTAACATCATAGCAATATATATTTCAGCTACTTACTTGCAGACTCCACAGTTTCTCTGCTGAGCCTGCCAATCATCATCTTATTGCTTAAAAAAGTCAAAATACTGACATGATCCCACATAAAATAGAAGCTACTATTTGTGTAAATTATATACAATACCCAGAGGCACTGGGCATCCTACCGAACTAATAACAAATGCATTTGCATTATATTATAATTCATTCTCAATTGCACATAATGTTAGGATCACTGTTGCTCCTAGGAAGAGAATCACAATTGCCAACTTAAAGATAAATGAGAACAGATGTTGAAAAATAGATTGGCACATTACAGAAGACTTTAAGGGATCTAAATCTAAAATTAGCTTCAACTTGCATCCATCATTAACTTTCTCCTATAGTATGTTTTTTCTTGGATATAACACATTAAAATAAAAGAAACATTTTTCTCTATCTCAGGTTGAAAATAAATGCAGAGTCAAACCCTCCTTCATGATAAATGGAAAACAAATGTTTTCTCAAATGTGATCTGTATAAGAATATATATGTATATTTTAATTTATTGCTAGTACAGCCTTTGCCTTTTATATTAGCACTTTTACTTCCAACTGATATTTATTTACGTCATTTCCTTTACATCTCAGAACTTAAAGGATATAGGGAACTACAGGCCAGGCCAGAGTTCATGTAGTTGGCAGTAAAGCCAATCCAATGACCCATGCGTCCTGTACTCACTGGCACGTGGAGACTGTATCTTGGTGAATTCAGATAAGGTTCCAGTTTCTTAGCAAGGCATGCTTACAATTCCATTCCCAGCCAAATCTCTTCACAACCGGTGAACACTCTCTCTCATTTTATGATTTCGTGCCTGTTGTGTCTCCTGCTGGGATATTCTCCGACAGGGAAACTCCTTTTGCCACTGTAGCAAAATGGAGCTGAAAAGTCAGTTCTACTACTTTAGGCATCCAGCTGCTCTTTCCTTTCCTGCTTCCAAGAACCGATTTCAGTATCGGTCACACCGCAGTATAATTATTTTCCTATCAGTCTCCTTTCTTGTAAATAGCAAATATCTTATTTGCATCAGGCACTGAAACATAACTGAATGAAAAATAAATGAAAGGGAAATAAATTTTCACTGGGGAAACATAAAGTATTATGTAAGTTCTTCTTAGTTCACCGATTCTGTATTAAAATGCCAGGACAATTCTTATTGTTTTTTATAGTTTTTTTTTCTCATAGACTACTTAGGATTGTTCTTTTTTCTTCCCTAAATAAGATACTGAGAAAATAAAACACTACTAATAGGGAGAAAAATGTTATTCAGAGTAAATATAAATTTATAACCTATGACATCAAACTCCATCTGTTGTTCCTTAGTTTTTTTCCTACAAAGTTTGTATATTGCAATTGCATCTACTCATCTGGCTTACTAATTAGGAGGGGAAAACCAAAAGGCAGAAATTGTCTTTACAAATAAACAAAAAGTAACCATCTGGAATTTACCTTTTTTCTCCATAAGGGGAAAAATACAACATAAATTGCAAAAGAAAAGAATACAGTGAGTTAAAAATTAGCAGACTCTGCCAAATAAAAGTGAAACCAGGCATTATTACATAATGGCGTCTTTTTAACTTTTACTGATAATTTTAGTGAAACTATCATTTTAAAAGAAATTTTCTTCTTCATATCTATAAAATAATCCAACAAGAAATAAAGCAATAAATAATTATTGGTAACATAAAGAGAACAGGGGACTTCTAATTCTTTTCTGTACTGCTGTTAAAACTCTACATGGAAGACTTCACACTGCTTATGAAATTTCTTTGCATCCTAAATCTCGGCTTCATGTCAATGAGCCATGAAATGAAACCTTGGAGAATTCCTGCCGTACAATGGAGCTTTCATTCCTTTTGCTAGGTACTCCTGATGTGTTTAATAGACTAGCTGCTTTGAATAAAGTATGCTGCAAAAATGCCACATCATGGACTGAAATAAGATAGAAAAGAAATAATATATATAAATAAATAAGAGCTAAAAAGTGACTTGCAATAAATGCTTTGTTTCTTACTGTTGTACTTTAACACAAATGTATTTTGCTTCATAAATACATTTATATAACTAAAAGATAAAGTGAGAGTAAGTATGGCCTCACCCATATTTTTTAATATGGAGATGTTCCTATTAACATACTCATATTTGCAAGTATTTCATTTTCTCACCTAAAGTCTCTCTGATACGCACAAAGTACATATTAATCTCTTAACCATATTAAAGTTGGAACACAGAAACCTTGTAGTTACTGATGAAAATCACAAAATTTCAGAATGTTTACTCAAATATGGGTATTTCCAAATCCAATCTATGAGACAAAGTAGAAAAAAAAATTACTCATCATAGTAGCTTCTTAATTTTAAAGCCATAAAGGATATGGGTAATTAAGTAAATGCAAGCAAGAAATGGACTACAAATATAAATGGATCGTGTGTGCACCAAGTATGTGTGGTCAGGTGTGGAAGGAATAAAAATGTTGAGAACTGGTACAGGTCAGGGCCGCTCAGGGAGTTCAGGAAGACACTGACATATAAGATGGAGTCTTGTAATCTCTCTTCTCCGCTTCATTTCCAAGGTCAAAACTTCAAATGATCCACACAAACATCACTGGTCCCCCACAGTTGTTTGCCCAAAAAAGTAACTTCATTCTAAGAATACTCAGTTGTCTTTAATTAGACACCTGGAACTTACCTCCTTCCTATCTTGCCATCTTCTTCGTGACCGTTCTACCTCCAAACCCTAAGTTGTACTGAATTACCCCATTCAAGACAAGTGGTCTGGTATGTTTCAAAATGAGATTTCTCACTATCCTACATCTCCCTCTTCTGACTGATCATAGTATTTAAGGAAACCAGTACTAAGATAATGTTTTTCATCTTTCCATTAAGATCCTATCTAAAGAACTTAATAAACTGATGAACAGAAGTGATTCAATGACATGGAAGCATGGACCAGACTGACAAATGTCAGAGGGATGGAGGGGGGCGGGTGGGTGGAGGGGGAGAGAGTAACCAAAGAACTGATACGCATATATACACAACCCAAGGACATGGACAATGGTGGGGAGAGGGACTTGGGAGGGGGTGGGACAGGGTAGAATGGTCATTGGGGAGAAAAAGGGACATTTGTAATATTTTGAACAAAAATTTAAAAAGATCCTATGGAAAAAACCATACAAATGCCACAAATAAACTCTAGCCAGAGAAAATCAATGCAGAGCAAAGGTTATAATTTAAAATTCAATAGTCAGTAAAAACAAGAAAATTAGTCTGTTAATGATTCAGAATAAAAACAACAATTATAAGAAGTAATTAGCATAGAAATTAGAAAATTTTACATAGCAAATTTAAAATTCAGTAACTTTACAAGTCTTGGTATTTATTATCAGAAAAATAATTAATTTCATAGCACATGGTCTATCTTTTTCAGTTACCAGTATTTTAAAGGATACTTAGTACCAGAATAATGTGGGACTCTGCCACGAACTGACCCTGGCTGTTTCCGTGAATGTAGCTCTAGGAAAAACAAGACAGAGAAGCAAACATTACAATCTGAGGAAAGGGGAGTTTCTGTGTGTATTTTGTAGTTTTATGTCATGAAGATAATGGAAAAATATTACTTAAGCTCCATTTATAATTCTTTTGAATGAAATGATTATTAGTTCACTAGAAGTAAGAGATGAAAATGTTGGTGGCTGATATTACTGTAAACTGTAGGAAGCAACTAAACATCCAAGTAAACTTCTATCTTGTTAAAACTTTTACCACAAACACATACACAAATGTAATGATTTTTTCAGAGTTATTACAAAATGAACTTGACAGCATATGGTACAAATTAGAGCAAGTAAGTTTACTGATTCGTCATCCATTAAAATAAGTCAAAAATGACCTAGCCAATGTTAAGTTACTCTTTTACATATTATCAAATTTTTAAAAATAAGATAGTTTTATAAATGCATTCATTTCTTTAGAGCATTTTGTTTTAAAATATAAATATTAAAACTTTTAGCTCATTGAGAAACATAGTTTTCCATACCTAGTAAGAACTGTCTTAGTTGATGTCAGTAGACTATAGAAAACCTGACACAAATTTCCATCTAGGATATTTTGCTTCTAAAAAAATCTGCCCTCTACAGTATTTCAGCTGTTAATCTCTCATGAAAATTAGTTGCTTTAAATAAAAGTCATTTTCTAGGTTTTCTGTTTGTAAAATAAAATTCTGGAGAAAGAAAAATAACTCCTATGACATCAAATACGCATCCTCAATTTTACATCACAGATGATAACTGTGTCATTTGAGGAGAGTCATTTTGGTCCTCTCAAAATTTCCCTTCATCTTATTTTTGACAATACATATAGGTGAAAGAATTATGCTTTGCTGGAGAGAGAATTTAAGAGTTAGAAAATGATTCCTTCTTGCTCTTAACCTTAAATACGTCACCAAATGTCTCAGATATTCATTAGCCCTTCATTTATAAAATCAGGGGGAAAAAGAGATGATTCCTACAATCTCTTTGAAGTATAGAAAGTCTCCTTTTTTTCTTTGAAGTATAGAAAGTCTCCTTTTTTTCATTAATTCTGTCTTGGTACTTTTATGCAAAGGCTGTTCTTTATATTCTGATCTAAGCTGTCACTGTTTCCACCCCAAGTTTCTCAGTAATTTCGCAGGGTAGCTGCCTCAGTCAAAGGTGTATTAGATGTATCGCAGTTTCTGGCCCTTTCACGTTATAGCTTCTGAGGAATCCTATCCTGTGTGTGTTCTTCTGACTCTGTCCATTGACATGTCCCACGTGGAGACCAGCGCAGCTCTGGAAGCCACGGCCTAGCCGCTAGCTGATTGCTTAAGGCTTCTGCGTTGGTAATGAAGGGCAATAATGCAGCAAACCGAGGACAAATACGAGACACTACGCTTGACATCAGCTGAAGCCTGGTTGGAAACAAAGACCCTCAGAGTTGAGAAGCGAAGGCTTATTCTAGTAACTGTAACGGCGAGAATAACAGCAGAGTCACACCAAGTACTAATAACAGCTACCGTGTATCGGGCTCATTTTGTGTAAGACACTTAAAAGTTTTACATGCAATAGCGCATTTAATTCCAATAATCCTACAAGGTAGGCATTTTTATTGCAGCCATTTTATAGACAAAGTAACTGAGGTTTAAGAGACATGAAGAAACTTGCCCAAGTTTTCACATCCAGTCCATGTACACACTGGGATTTGAAATTGGGATTTCAGATCCCAAACTCATTCATTATACTACCTTGTTATTTACTGGACATTTGACTGGATGCTTCATATAAATTATCCCACTGCATCTTCTTAACAACCATATGAAATAGTTATCATCATGTCATCTTCCAAATAAGGAAACTGGGATTTAGAAAAATTAACTTGCTTAAGATTGCACTAGTACAGTAATTGGTGGAACTTGGGCTGAAACCTGGGTCTAACGACCAACAAGGTTCATGCCTTTTCCACCATATAATAACATTAAAAGGCAAGAAGGAAATCAAGTGAAACATTTTATAAAAGCTTTATCTGGCAATTATGTAATTAAATGATGATCATTAAAGTAATTAAAGTCAACATTTGTAGGACTGACTGCAATATTTGAATATCACAATACTGGGTATAATAACTAAATTTATATAATGACTAGAAGGTAGTTTGCCAATATTAGAATCACAAATTAGAGAAGAACTTCAGGTATTTTCCAGGTGTGTGGTTTCAAAACTCTTTTACGTACTAGAATCTTCTCCGGTCAAAGCCATCAACCGACTTCCGCATTCCCAGCCCTGGTCGCTCCTTAGTCTTACCGGACCTGACCTGATGAGTGTGCCGCACGTGGTCCCTCGCCTTGTTTTGTAGTATTTTCTTCACCTGCCTTCGAGGGTCTCCTACTGTACTGGCTCCTCTCCCCCAGGCCCCTTGGCTTTCGCTTTCATCACCCCAACTCTAAACTCTGGACTAGCTCAGAGCTGCACACACTTAGGCCCTTGCTCTACATTCAGCATTCCTAGGTATTCTCACCCAACCCCATGACTTAAATGATCATTTCTATATTGGTGATTCCTACATTTGTGTCTCCAGCCCAGCCCTTCAGAATTGCACATTGGTCTCATATACGTCCACCGCCACGTGGTCATCTAATAGTCTTCATTAATAGACTATTTGGAAGTGGTCAAAACAAACTTTCGATATCCCCCCTCTTGGATCCCAGAAACAGCAACTTACTTTTGCCAGTTATTTAGGTCAAAACCTTGCAATCATTCTTGTCTGTTCTCTCCTCCCTCCCTCTCTCCCTTTCCATACTGCCAATCACCGACAAAATACTGTTAACTCTATTTTCAAAATCCATTCCAAATCCAACCACTCGTTACCACTTCCAGGGAGCACTGGCAGAGGAGCCCGAGGGTTAGAGCAGACTACCATCTGGTCTAAGCAATCATCTCTTCGCTACATTACTGCAGTGGCTTCCTTTGTTCTCTCTGCCTCTACCCTATGGTCTAATTGTCAGATTAATCCTGTTAAAACTGATCAGATTCTACCATTGCCCTATTAGGACCCTTCAATTCTTTCTCAAATGTGTGAGAAAAATATATCATTAAATCTGTTTTTTGCTTCCAGTCACAATACCAGAGAACCCACATATCTCCAATTAATTTAAAAATACAGCTAGGTTAAAAAAATCCACACTTGGTCCTTAAAGGCTCATTATTTCACTGTAATAAATCTACAACACTTGTGGTACTTTCTTGTAAACATGAGGCAGTACAGAGTAAAGGCTTGTAGACAACCCTGAATCTGCTACCTGCCAGCTGTGTTATCGTGAACACATTTCTTAACCTAAATGATCTCATCATTAATAGTAATAGGAAGATATTCCTCAAAATATTGTCCTAAAAATCAAATAAACGGATAAAGTCATGTTAAGTAATTAGCATAGTACCTGGTTTTCTCTATAGTAAGTAATAAAAAATAACCAAGGATAACTCATCTTAAAGTCTATTCCAAACAAGCTATTTATATTTTCTAAACATTAGATGAGCATGCTTAAATGCCATTCAGAAATTCATTTTACTTTAACAGGTGAATGTGGGGTGTTGAACTGATATTTTGTAAAGAGGATACTCAGGAACCCTGTGATAACATTTGACTGTTGTCCATCTTCTTCAGTAATCATAATCACTTTAAGACCAGATATTCATAAGACTTCAGAGTTTAATAAAGTAGAATGCATTTAATAAATTTTTAGTGGGATATTATTATGTCCCAGGCATGATTCAGGCAATGGCGATCCAGTGTAACAGAAACAGAAAACAAACAAAAAGCCAAAAAACTCTATTCTCCTGAGTTTATGCATTCATACTGTGAGAACACATTTTGTCTATCAAAGTGCAATAAAGAACCCGGCTGGTGTGGCTCGGTAGTTGAGCACCAACCTATGAACCAGGAAGTCAGTTAAATTCCCAGTCAGGACACATGCCCAGGTTTCGGCTCGATCCCCAGTGGGGGGCGTGCAGGAGGCAGTTGATCAATGACTCTCTCATTATTGATGTTTCTGTCTCTCTCCCACTCTTCCTTCCTCTCTCTAAAATCAATTAAAAATATATATATTTGAAAAACAAGTGCAAAAAAGAGACTGGCACACACTAAAAGCCACATGAGCAAACACAAGAATAAAAGGACAAATAAGCATTCAGAGTAAGTCTTAAGTTCTGACCTTAGGAAACTATCTTTCATTTAGGGGCCTCCTACTGCAATGATATAATCTAATTAAGATTGAACTAAAAATCTGTATTTGCCCACTGACTTGGCTCAGTGGCTGAGTGTCAACCTATGAACCAGGAGGTCACGGTTTGATTCCTGGTCGGGACACATGCCTGGGTTTCAGCTCAATCCCCAGTGGGGGGGCGTGCAGGAGACAGCCGATCAGTGACTCCCTCTCATCATTAATGTTTCTATCTCTCTCCCTCTCTTTGAAATCAATAAAAACATATTTTTTAAAAAATTTGTATTTAATTGATGCATGCACTTTCAGAATCTTTTACAGAAGTCATAAGTAATTAGCAATGAAATGCCTTTATAGCTTTAGCATGATGTTCATCTATATTCTTTCTGTCTCTGATGAGGGAGATATTAGTAACATGTAATTTAATCCTAAATACACGCATATTTAACTTGCTTTTATAACCACAGTGCATTTGCAGATCAGATGACTAGTCAAGAAGAAAATCTGCATGTCCTTTGATATTGGATACATATCTATTTTTTCCATGGAGATAAATATCTTGACAAATCATTAATATAAATGTTCTTCACTTGTCCAGTCCATTGAACACTTCATAAAAGATATGAACCAAAATCAAAGAATGATTAGTAAATATTATTTTATCAGAAAGTTCATTACCATGACTTACTTAAAGGCCAATTTTATTCAGAAAAAAATTAGATGACTTGAAGTTTGCATAGCATAATATAAATAATATATATGAATAATACACTTAATTTCA